AACGAACCATGTCTAACAACGTTCAATTGTGACGCTCAGCTACAACATTAAGTTATGGTGTCCTAGGAGGAGTCAATTGTGAAATTATTCCACATTCCTTGAGGTAGTCGTGGAACTTAAAACTAAGATACTCTCCTCCTGTATCAGATTGTAGCATCTTTATTTTCCTGCCTAATTGATTCTCAACTCCATATTTAAACTCTTTGAACCTTTCAAAGGTTTTTGATTTATGTTTGATCAAGTAGATATAACCATATCTACTATTATCATGTGTAAACATTCATAAAATCCATTAGCATCTCTTGTGGTGGATCTGAAGGGCGCACACACATCTGTGTGTATGAGGTCCAACTAATCTTCACCTCTTTCACAAGATCCAGTTAAAGGTGATTTTGTCATCTTTCCTAAAAGACAAGATTCACATTCATCATTTGGCCTTAGGTCAAATGATTCTAAAACTCCATTATTTCGGAGTTGGGCGATGTGTTTCTCGTTAATGTGCCCAAGACGACAATTCCACAACCATGCCTTGTCTAAACTATTAGATTAATCAATGTGAAATACGCCATTGCCTAATTTACCGACAGAAGTCACAATTTCATACACACCATTATAAGGTAAAGATTCAAACATAGAAACACCAATTTAATAAACTAGAATAGAACCATTCAAATCCTTAAAAGTGTAGTCAAAACCTTGTCTAAACAATGCATTAAATGAAATAATATTTCATGTCATTTCTGACGATTAACAGAAATTAATTAAACTAATTCTAACATCACTACTAAGCACAAGTTGATATGTCCCAGTCTTTGTAATAGGAGAACATCACCTATTTCATATGATCAGATTCATCCTCCCATGCTCCACCTCCTCACCTTCTTTTAGCCCCTACAAATTAGAACAAATGTTAAAACTACATCTTGTATGAAGGACCCAAGAATGAGTAGATGGTGATTTATTAATTTGAATAGTATATATATATATATATATATATATATATATATATATATGTCGGATTAATGTCCAAGTCCATAACTATAATTGGTAAGACTTAACCCAACCCGACATGGTCCATTTGTGTTGCATCGCATCATGAATTTGGATAGACTATAATGAGAGAAATAACACTTAAGGTTGGTTAATATATTATAAGTTATAATATATTAATAAGGTTACTTAATTAGTATTGATCAAGAATTAATTAAGTGATCAAAAGGAGTCTAATTAAATATATGGGTTGATTGTGTAAATCATTCATTCTTATATACGTGGGCTTGTGATCCAAAATTCCTTATGTTGGACTAAGTCCTAAGGGTGACCCATGGATACTCCATGGAGGTTATAATCCATGGAGCATAAGGAATGAGTAAAGTTATAACACTACTAGAAAAACAGCCTTTTACGACGCTCATTGCGCGTCATAAAAGGCTCAGACGACGCACAAATGCGCATCAAGGAAGGCCCTGTCATAAAGAGAGATGACGCGCTTTTGCGCATCGTCTATAGACGACGCGCATTTACGATGCTCATTTACGACGCGCATTTACGACGCGCAATGCGTATCAAGGAAGACCCTGTCATAAAGGAAGATGACACGCATTCGCGTGTCATAACCTTACGACGCGCGTGTTAATGACACGCAATGCGTATCAAGAAAGCCCCTGTCAAGAAAGGCCATGTCATAAATGAAGATGACACACATTTTTGCGTATCATAATCTTAAATGTTTAAAAAAAATATTATTTATAGATTTACTAATTTTCAAATTAAATAATACATTAAAAATCTCATAATACAAAATAAAATACCATAAATAACAAAGATAATTCATTTCACTAATATGTCAAATACAAATAATTATTCCAATAGTGAGTAAATGTTATAATAAAATGAACTCATTTATATACAATTGCATTATCTAGCTTACTATGTGCCAACAACTCTCTATGTGTTTACTTTTGCTTGAGTCTCGTTTCCTCCAAAGCTTCTAAATCACAAACCTTTTTAAACATACTAGAGACAGGATCCAATCCATGGGGTATTTTTGGAAAATAGTCTGAACATTCTTGACAAATCATCAACCTGCAAGTGAAGGGTAGAAAGGGAAGAAACAAATGTTCACAACCAGTAAGAAATCTAAACACTAGAAGTTTCATAGTGATTGTTGATTCCTATAAACTCAAATGTGAGATGAGAGGCTTGTTCACAACCAGTAAGAAATACTAAGTAGAAAGAAACAAATCAGCACCGTTTTCTGCTTCTGCTGCAAGCAGTAATATGGAGCGTGACCCACGACAGATGAGGCAGTCATCTCCTTGAAAGCTAAATACATATGTTCTCGCAAAACTAACATAAAAAAACAAACAATAATGAGAATAATTTGTGGCATTCATCACCTTTAGTATCCAGCCACAAATCAGGACCAATTCATCCATCAAACACACAATCAGCACTCAGCAAGCCCACTCCACTACCCTCTCCAACAGCAAGTCAAAGTAAGCATCATCCAAGTGTTAGTGCCAAAAAAAATCAAAACATTCATTAATTTTAACGTGTTGGGAGGAGAGCAATTAGGTAAAAGGATTGAGAAATTCGTACCCATGCTTATCTTAGCAAACTTGGTTTGGAACACCTGCACAATAAAATATAAATTATCAAAAGACTAAATGACTATCTTACCCTTACATTGAAAAGTCAAAGTGCCAATTTAATATGAAACATGGGTATGATTGTATAAAAAACGGACCTTGAAGCCAGTGTCACCTAGATTGAAGTAGAATCTCTCCTGGTATCCTGAAAAAAAAAACAAGGGACTATTTATTTTAATTAAACTTACATAAAATATAAGAGATTCTTTATGCTGATTATATGTGTAGATAATTAGAAACTTAACTGAAAGCATTTTAAGTCCGGGGAGGGATAATATTGGGTCCATATGTAGGAAAAGTATCTGAAGTACATCACCTGAAATCGATCGACAACCACAACTCGAGCCTGGTCGTGATTATAGCTCAACTGCCACCTTCACACTCCCGTCAGAAGTTTGTTAATCAAATATGATCACTCTTGGACACGGGCATTAAACTTAATAAAGAATAAAATTTTGCTTTCCATTTGCTTTTCTTATTACGACATTATAATTTAAAAATCTTCTACATATCCTTTCTATTTGGATAAAATATGTTATAAATGGTATATATTTTTCAAAGAAAGCACATTGCTATCTGTTGCATTCATTTTTTTATCTCAAGAAATGTCTAGATTTTCATTAATTGGTAAACAAATTTAAGTTTTGTTCAGTTTTTACCTGATTGTACTTGGCTAAGCGCTCTCCACGAGAAGGAGAGCCTGCTTTGATTTGACAAGAGGCAAGACCAACCACCAGGTCAGCAATGAAAGAATCATCTATTTCCCCACTTCTCTATGATATCACCACCATAACTTGGAACCATCATAACCGGTCAGCAGATTCATACACATTTGAGAGGTTAAAACATCTTAGAAAACTTCCTCAGGGCATTATGGTCACATAAATGCTATACATCATCTTCCTCAGGCAGTTTCACTGCTGTGTAAATACCTGCACCAGCTAGTGCGCCAAGGATGGGAGCTGTAAGGTAGATCCATATGCCTTTGTAGTTATTTGCAGCTATTGCTGGTCCCAAGGTTCTTGCTGAGTTCATTGATGCTCCTGTCAGTGGCCTATATCATTTCAACAAAGGGAAAAATGTGAACAAAGAGGTTACCCCTTTTTTTTTTTTTTTTAAAAAAAACTTCTATCAACATACCCAGTTATCAGAATATTAAGAAGGTTCAATTTATACGTACCCATCTATAAGAATATTAAGCATGACAGTTGCCCCCACAGCTATTCCCGCTAGCTCGCCAACCTGTGGTGAAATAAAAATCAGGTTACAGTTATTTGAATAATTGCAAAATTTGTCTATGTTCATGTATATGTAAAATTTCCATAGCCAATTTTATATTAATACTATAAAATAATAAATATAAATAAATAAATATATATACATATATATATATATATATATATATATATATATATATATATATACCCGTGAAGACCAGGGGTAGATGGGCGATATACACTTGTTAAGCCTAATTGTCTAGCAGATGAAGCAGTGGTTTCGCTAATGCATGCAACAGAACCCTCCCATGTCTGTGGTTCAGGTAGAAAATCCACCGAAGCACTGTTGCATGATAAAGATTAACAGATTAGAGGTCATTTTTTTGGATTTATTTTTCAGGTTTTATGTTTTTTTGGTTGCATAAAGCAATAAAAATAGCAATGTAAGAAATGGTGTCTTCTTGAAGTCAAAGTCCATGAAAGCATGAGGAAGATATTTGTTGAATTTCGCAATATATTATAACAAAAAAGTTCGAGAACTTTATATCTAAGAATACAAATTATTGGAGTGTAATGGAGACTGAGAAAACCTCTAAATAAATAATCAGATAAGCTTCGGTTCGGTTAAGCTTTTTAAATTAGGTCATAAAACAAAGCATTGAACTAACCCCAAAAAAAACATGTGAAACTCCTTCAAAATTTACAAACAAAAAAATATTTATATTTATATTTAAAAACATGTGAAACTCCAAAAAAAACAAAAAAACAGGTGGCATAATTAATAGAAAATGATCTTACTTTAATTGGATGCACGGCTATTGAAGACAAACTTCAAGAAGGGTAAGAAAGAAGCTGCAGCAACACCTCAACCCCTGCTGCAACAACATTTCCATTAACCCAAGGACAGAAGAAATTATGATGCTTAATTGGATCAAACTCCACTACTTCTTCAAAGTTGCTTTCCCCATTTGGAGGCCCTAAATACCAAAATATATAAATAAAATAAAAAAGATTAAATGTTCAATCATTTTTAATAGAAAAAAGGACTCTAACCTAGCCCATTTGCAGGAGGCTCACATGGTTACACATTCATGCTCTTTATGTTACATTTTCATAATCTCAGGTTCGTGAAATGGCAATGGTTTCTGCTGTTCAGGAAGCCCAGAAAGATAATCTCAGAAACTTTAGTGACTACATGATGAGAGTGTTAGAGGTTAGTTTCTACACAAAGTCAAAGTTACACTTCAATTCTGTATTCTGATATCTACTAAATTACCCTTTTACCGCCTGTTTAATACTAAATTACCTATTTTTTTTTCTATCTGTCAGGATGACTGGCAAAAGGAAAAAAGGGACTTTCTTCACAGCTTGAGCCGCATCTCCAGTTTAGCAAGGACCAATGTAACTGATTCAAGCATTGGGGCTAACCGATAAGGGCCAATATTATCTCTATTTTCTAGTCCTCACATTTCATCTGGTCCTTCTAACATGGAGCTTTTGGTAATAGTTGATAAAAAGGCTGCAACATATGTCCAGGTTGTGAGAAAACTCAATGATGCAAGAAAATGTAGTTTAGAATATAAAGTAAGTCCATCAACTTATCATACTTTTGTTACTCGATTTATTTATTAATGTGTACTTTGTTCCATTTTTCAGTCAGCTACTGCTTTTAAGAATGCATATGATCACAATCTTGGCTTGGATTCTTCTAGTGGTAACTCAATTACCATGAACAAGATCTGGCATCTAATTCAGGTACACATTGTTTTCATATGTAGAAGATTGCTCTTTCAAGCATTTTGTCGATCACTTGGAGTGCATATATGCTCTCTTTTTTCTGACCCATTTACTTTAATTGTACATTTATAACCATCGAAAACAAATGCCAAAATCACATACTTTAAGCATCGATTCATTGTAAAATATAAAATAAAACATCAAACTGAGGTTCAACAAAATAACATTAAGAGAGGGGTAGAGATTTTCGAGATGATCTACAGGGGATGAAGAAATAAAGTTCTTCTGTTCAAAAATAAAACCAAACAGATTCATCACTCTCAACATTTTAAAGACAAAGATCAAGTAGTTAAACACAAATTTTAAACTGAAATTTAATCAATATAATGAAAAATCAGAAAAAACATACTCACAGTAGTAGTCGTGGCGGCCGTAGTTGTCGACTCCGCCATCATAAACTTTTTTGTTGAAGAAATAGGAGATGGTAAAAGCGTCCTTTTCATAGCATAGTAACACCTCCCATTCCGGGGAGAAATAGGAGATCGTAGTTGTCGGCCGTAGTTAAACACAATTTTTGTTGAAGAAAGGAAACTTCAATTAAACGAACAACTTTACCATATTTGGGAGAAAAAATCGGGAATGGGTTACTATTAACAAACCTTAGAGACTTTATTGCCACCAAGATGATGGAGATGCACGAAAAAAACCATAATCCTTTTTTCTTGATTGAGAAGATGAAGTTGAGGGATGAATGAGAAGTCGTGTTCCCCTAATTTGCTGAATGGATGAAGAAATAGGACCAAGGCTAGAAGCGCAACTAGACTAGGGTTTGTAAATGTGGGGAGTCATTGTAGATGGAGTAGGGTAGAGGTGAAGAGGAGTGAGCAGGGTACTTCAAAATTTTGGGGGATTTTCCATGTTTCTAGTGGTGGCGGGTGCTAGGTTTTACAGAGAGTAGCAGGAGAGAAAATGAAAGAAGATATTACTATTTCAAATGTGTTATTTTTGATTAGGGTTTGCACATAGAAGGAAGTGAAAGTCGATCGGAGAAGAAGGGGTTTGCAGAGAGAAAGAAGGGAGAGAATGAAGTCGATTTGGCGGGTGTAGAGAGTAGAGAGGAAGAGGAAGCGGGTGTTCAAAATTTTGGGGGATTTAGTTTCCCCCCTGAGTCCCAGAAACGCGCGTTTATTAAAATTATAAAGCGACATTTGTAGAGGACGCCCTTTTTATTATAGGTGCCCTCCGTGTTTTTAATATTTTTACATGAGACACTAATTTAAGGGCACTCAGTAATGCGCGACCTAAATCCTTAAAATTTTTGAAGAGATGACACTTTTTTAATGTCGCTCTCTAATGCGTAACATAAATCAAAGAGCGTCGTGTTTTGCGCGTCGTAAAAGGCCTTTTTTCTAGTAGTGTAAGTTACATGGTGTAACCCTAATAGCCACCATATAAAAGAATCCCATGGCTTAAGAAATCAGCACTATGTGTGAGTGATAGGGCTAGCCAATTTTCATGAAGTGTGGAATTCTCTCAAGTCTCGCCAAGTGCATATGATGTTGTGTGAACCATTTGAGGTGTCACACTTGGGGAACTTGGCACTCAAGATTCATGAAGACATTCTACATCAAAGATGTATGTAATTCTAACTTGATATTCATTTGAATCAATGTTATTATGCTAGTTAGGATGAATAGCTTGGAAAGTTTATATTTGCATGTATAATATAGAAAACATAGATCCAAGGTATTTAGGGTTGCATGTACACTTAGGTGTGTTAGAATGCTCAAAACCCAACAGTGGTATCAGAGCCATGGGTTGTTTTCTGTTATATTGATGCAAATATTTTATTTTCAAAGTTGGAAAAAAAAATTGACGTTTGTCAAATTTTAAGATAATTACTTGTTTTTGTGAAAAAATAATTATTTGTAAAATTTGAATAATTATCTATATGAGTTAAATTAGGTCAAATTTAGTAAAAGGTAAAATGATATGATTTTTTTATTAGTTTTAAAAGTTTGATCTAAAGAGTTTTTTGAAACCTCCATAAGTTATGGATATAAAAAGCTTTTAAAAAAATTTTATTAAAAGTTTTTTATGGAGTTACAAAAATTTGTGTTAATGTTTTAAAGAATTCCATAGCTTGTTCTTAAGTTATGGAACATGAAAAGTTTCATAATTGAACAAACATTAAACTCCATAAGTTATGGAATCCAAAAGTTTTTTTTTTAATTATTTTGATCTTATGTTGATTAAGATTAATAGAAAATTATGTGATAATATGTTTTCAATCCATTTTAATCTAAGAGTTGATTCAAAAATGTGTTTTTGTAACTTGTCCCCAAGTTACTTGAAAGGTCACATTTAAGTTTCTTAAAACTCATAAAAGTTGTAATAGGTTACAAAATGAAGAGTCTTGTCCTCATTAAATGGTTTTATGACTCCATAACTTATCCTCAAGTTATGGAGATTCAAGAGACTCTTCATTAAATAATAATAAAAAAATGTGCAACCATAATTAATTCCATAAGTTACAAAATAATGAAAAGTTACATTCTTTTATTAGTTTAAAGTCTTCCATAACTTGTCCTCAAGTTATGGAACTTGAAGAGTCTTTTAATTAAAACTACTTTAAACACATAAGTTATGGAATTAATTAGTTTTGAATAGTTTCAAAACATTCCTTCAAGTTTTGGAATTTGAAAATTTTTCATTTATGAATACTTTAATTCCAAATTAGCCCTTAGAATTTTAAAAGTTAAAATTCAACCCTTATACTTTATAATATTATAAGTTAATAATATTTATATATATATATATATATATATATATATATATATATATATATATGTATAAGAGTAAAGTCAGTCTTACCGTTAGAAGGGCTCATTCATGAAGCCGGTCTATAAGGGGGGTATAAGGTTACTGCCTATAAAATGGCAGTTTAATGGCTGTCCACTCTCACCCACCGCTTCCTTGACTGGTGGAGGGTCGTTAGCTGAACGGGCAGGACAAGGAATATAATTCTCCCTTCATTAAAAGTATTAATGATAAATACTAAGTAACTATTAATACCCAATCTTAGTTACTTAGGAAAATGTGAATAAGGTGCTAATCCATGAAATTACACTTTGCGCTTTGTTTAAGTCGGTTAGTGGAGCGTGTGTGATTAATCGGCACACAACTAGTATTTAACAAGGTAGGCAAAGGGTAACTTAATGTTTATCATAGTATCGATGGAGAGTGTGTGATTAACCGGCACATTGATTGAGGGGCAAACACTTAAGGGTACCAAGTATATTTGCATGGTTATTCACACCTTGTTTTGTGATCCTCAGCATCCCAGTCACAAAACCTGAAGGGCACACTTGAGATTGAAACATGCCATTGAACAGTTCAATGAATCTCAAAAGATCTAGAAGTTTCAAATCCAATTAAAAAACCTAATAAATTTATTTTGTTTTTTCATGGTGGAAATTGGTGAATCGTCATTCACCTACATTCAAATATCCTATAGCTTGGATTACAACATCCCTCTTCCAAGTTATAAAATAGTTTGTTGGGTTCTAGCCTTGATATTTCATATTGGGTGTTATATTAAGGACTTTAAATCAACTATCTTAAATATCTCCCAAAAGATGTCTAATTCAGACATCTATGATCTTCCCAAATCTCTTGTAACTTCACTTCCTCAACCTCCTCCAATTATTCTCCCTAACCCACAAGTTCAAGGTCACTCAAGCCTATTGGCAAGAAAAGTCTATGTGTGCTTGCATCATGGAGATGAAGTCACATATTGACAAGCCGGGAGAGTTGGGTGTCAAAGTCTTGAGAAAGTTGGATGTCCAATCACTTTCTAAGTCACATAGTGAGTTCCTTTGGGACTCCTATGAAACAGACTATGGCAAGACCCTTAATGATCTTATCTATTTGCTAAGATCAACTTCCCAAAACTTTATGGACATGAACAATGATGACACTGGAAATCCAGAAAAGCATTCTCTTCCCAATGGAAAAGGATCGGCCATAGTCAACTCAGTTGACCAAATGGTAAAGAGAAAGGCTAAGTCTGAGATTGTCTCATGTACCATTCCCAAAGGGTCTATATGGTTCTATTGCCAAAAGGAAATTTTTGATTTTATTTATTTTATGTATCCTTACAATGGCGTTTGTGGAAAATTGTTGCTTATAAGATTCCACTGATAGCAATATTGGAAAGTGAATTTGATTCTCTCATTTGTGGTAATGTCTAAATTTACCAAATAAGGAAAGATTCTCGTCACCCAAGGTTCAGTTGGATAGAGACTTGGAATCATGCAAGTCGTATAGCATGATGAATGAGAACTTTCAAGCATTGGAAAAAATTAAGACTAACTACTTATTCACCTGGATGTGTGAGTCAAGTGAAGGACTAAGGGATCGAGTACACATTCTTGTGCACTGGTAAAGTCCACCACAAAAGATCGATAAGATTATTCGTGATAATTTACTAAAGCTCAGTAAATATGGTTATACTTACAAGCTTAAGTGTAATTCTAAGATATTGGAAAAAGGTTCCAATGTATGACAGAGCAAATAACAAGAATCAAATTAGGCAGAAGGATAAAAGCTTCTCAAATATAAAAATATGGGAGAGTACTTTAGTATTATGTTATATGATCATCTTAATGATTAAGAGACCTTATCACCATTCATCCTCTAAGTGCATTCTGATAACTAAGAAGAGGAGCTATGAATTGTTGAGGTGGTTAAATCAAGAAGATGATTCATACTTCGTTCCAAAATCAATTCTTAGAGTTATACTCTAAGAATATAACTTGAGTGACATATCGTAAAGAAGGTTTAAAACACATGTCAAATGTAAGAGTAAAAGTTTTCTACTCTTGTACATTTGAAATTGGCAAGTTGTAATGTTTTGGATAAAACAAAGACCAACTAAGGCCAATTTAGTGAAGTGTTTATCTTCATTAGAATCCACACTATCTCTTGAATATCTGACAAGAGACTCTTATATGTCAAGAGGACAGTGGGAGTCTTAAAGGTCTTGAAAGTCTCAAGAACTAATCAAGAATCAAACCTGAAGTTCTACACTAGCACACGACTTGAGGTTCATAACCTATCGTGTTGACATATTCTGTGCCCATTCTAATCAAAGTTGGCTTTGCATATGAGTTCTTAGAGTTCTCAATTGGTAGCACAACAACTTGGAAGCAATGGCAAGCCCTTGAGCTGCCAGATGGCAAGAAATTAAGATTGAGTTCAGTCCATATGAGTTTGGATTTGTCATTATCCTTGTCTTGTGACTATGGTTTTGAAAATTCACATGGATAAGAACACATAAACCATTAAATCTAAGTGTCATAAGGTTTCTCTCCAATTCATTAAAATGATGGTGAGGAATCACTTTCACTAAGTAGATTTTAGCTAGATAGCAATTGTGATATTTGCATTCTCAAAGTCGTTAGTGGAGCGTGTCTGGTTTACCGGTACACTAACATGGACTTGTGAGAAGTGGCAAAGGTCTAAACAATCGACACTATGATTACAACATCCCTTTTCATAGTTCTTAAAAGTGTTTAGAAACACATGTGAGCTATTTAAGATAAGGTGTATGATATTGATAAAGTTTTATCAAAGCAATCTAGTATCAGAAATCTGAACTTTGGTAAGAAAGTCAATAAAGTATTGATTCCTAGAAATCCAGCTGATTCTGAGTACATGTCAAAGCTAGTGGGAGCATAAGTATTATGCTATTAATCATCATGTTAGTGTGAGCATTATAATTATGATAAAGGTTGCAAGTTAGCAATGCTAATTATAGAAAACAAAAGGTTTCAACTGGGAAAAAGTTGTTTTGCTATAATTAAGGGAGAGGAAATTATACTTCATCTCAAATCTAAAAGCTTAGATTGAGGTTTTAATCGTATTTAGTCAAGGACATATATATGAATTTCATGTTGGAATGGATCAACATAAGAAAATTCTATATATGGATCCATTATTTGCGTTCTAAAATTCGATTATGATTACGACATCCCTTTTCATAATCTGAATTATGAGAAGTTGGCAAATTCAAATGGAAATATTATAGCAAAAGAGTGGTTTAGTCTTTATGTGAGACATCATGAATTGTGTCCCATATGCTTCGGATATAGGATCGATTACATGTGCTATATTTATCCTTTATAAAATTTTCCAAATGCCTGGGGCATTA